TCCCCTTTTCACTTTTCATAAGCTTTCCTCAGTTGAATAGTTATCCTACCCAAGACAGCAGATCCTGAGCTGGGACCAACCTGAGGCTGGACCTTTCAGGATGATGATGATGATGGTGATAGCTGAGACTTCCATAGCCTACTATGTGCCAGGCACTGTCCTAAGAACTTCATATCTATTCAGTTCTCCCAACAATACCATGAATTAGATACAATTATCGTCTCCATTTTACAGATGAGAAAACAGAGGCAGAGAGAGAGGTCCAGTCATGCAACCAAGATCACACAACCCGTCAGTGGTGGAGCTGTGATTCAGACCAGATAATCTGGTTCCACAGTCCTACAACGCCACTGTGTGATCTCCTGATTGTGGCAAAGATAAGAGGTTTCTCAGACCCTCTCATTCACATGAGACCATTTGGATTTGGGAGAAAATTAGGCAAATCCCTACAGACCAAGTAAATGAAACAGAGAGGGAAAAAAGAAAAATCCAGAGGAAAAATACGGTTTACAAAATTCTTTTCAAGGGCTGAGCCACAGCCTCAAGCACAAGGAGCAAAGCTGCCCATGATGAACAGAGGAATAACTGCTGACTGTAGACCCATGTACGGGGCTCAGTTTGGAGGCAGGAAAACTCGTCGGATGCCTTGTTTGAAGGTGGTTAGACCATCTGTGATAACTGAATTAATGGATTTTCAGCAGCCTTGCCTTTCTGTGATCTACACAAGCAGATTTGTCCCGAACAACTTACTGATGATTGCTAGTTTTTTCACAGTTTATGCACCTCCAAAAATAAAACCATATTATAGAGGTGTGCTGGTTTTCTTCCTCAATTTGATATATCTGTCTCTTGTGCAATAACCAAATATATAGGATAGTTATACTTCAACATTTCCTTTTCCTTTGCCAAGACAGACATAGGCAATAACATTAGAGAGGTGGTAAGGCTCCTCTATAAAAACAATATACACCTACACCTAATGTGTGTAGTAAAAACTCCTTCTTCCCCTAGATTGAGGAAGGGATATACTAAAATAGAAGCTCGGATGAAGCCTCTACTTCAGAGTTCTGGCCAGGCCCCAGTAGATATTAAACACCACAGAGACATTATGCTCTACTTTTTAAAGCCTTCAAGTGGAGTATTCACTGAAAATGTCTGGTTCTGGCCAGGAAAAAAAATGATGCATATCCAGACATGTCATCTTTGGGGTGAATGATCTGTTGGATCAAAGAGGAAGACTGGAGAGCAACCTGAGGCTGTCAGATAAACTTGCTGGTTTGTGGAACAGCCCCACGCCAATGGATGGAATGCTGAAGGCTAAACCTCAGGAAAATACCCCATCCCTTCTGTCATCCCCTCACACCATCAACTCTACTCTACTCCTCAGTCAAGCTTTACACGAATAGATGAGGGCTTTGTAGTGTGTGTTTTCTGCAGAACTTAAAAAGGGCTACATGAGGGAGAATGTCTTTCTCTGTGAAGCTTGCAGTCTAAATGCTGCAGAACACAATGCACATTTTCCTGTCGAAAAAGGAAGTGTACTGAGGAACTGGCTTTTTTAAAAAAGTCATACTGAGGAGGGGGTATGGTACGAGGGGGAAAATTTAGTGCAGAGAAAGCTGTTCAAATTAGCCTAAAACGGAGTTTATAGATGAAATCTACCGCTTACCTCTGTTGTTATTACAGGATCCTATTGTCAATGATTAACAAAGGAGTCACTGTCTCTTTAAGCTATTCAGTGCTAGGAGTTCCCAACTGGAATTTCACCTCTCCAGAGAGTGTGTGTGTGTGTGTGTGTGTGTGTGTGTGTGTGTGTGTGTGTTGGCTAATGACCAGCTTAAAGGACAAGACAGTTGGATCTATCCAAGTTGATCCTGGTCTAATAACATACTCATGCACATGCCATTAGGCTCCAAAAGGCTTCAAGGGCACCCTCAGATTCTGTTGCCTAGTACAGTGTTTCCAAGAAGAGCTGGCCTGCAGTTCAAACTGCCTGCACACTGAGCGATGAGGAAATGCACATCTTTCCTGAGAATAATGAGTCATTTTTGTTTCCCCCTCTCCCCACTGTTTCCCAGTAGAGAAAGGCAAAGTGGATAAAGTGTTCACATGCTTGGAAAGCCACTCAGTAAACCACAGCTTCTGGGGAAGAAGGCGTAGAGCTTTAAACGACAGAATCCTCTCAGTGTGAACCAGAGAGAAGGTTAATCACCAGTTAGGAACCTGAGCTTGGACCTTTGGGACTGGGGGAATAACTGAGTGGGAACCTCAAATTGTGAACGCTGCTGGGATATCGAGAGACGCATACAGGGCCCTTGCCTTCCACCCTACATCCCCACCAACCTCACTGACTTTTCCTTTTTAGGAAAGGAAACATACACACACGCACTATAAAACAAAAATGAAAGAGCAGTTTTACTCTTCCTTTTACCACACACACACACACACACACACACAAATCCTCCTTTTTTTCATTTTGTTTTCCACATGGACATTTTGTTACCTGTAAGCATTTTTAAAAGTAGAGGTCAAGTGGGGGGTGGGGGAAATGGGTGAAGCTGGTCAAAAGGTAGAACACATCTGGGGATGTAATGTACAGCATGGAGACTAATTAACAATACTGTATTGTATATTTGAAAGCTGCTAATAGAGTAGATCTTAGAAGTTCTCATCACAAGGAAAAAATATTGTGACTATGTGTGGTGATGGATGTTAACTAGACATTGTGGTGATATCATAATATATATATATCAAAGCATTATGTTATATAACTTAAACTTATATGTTACATGTCAATTATATCTCAATAAAACTAAAAAAAAAACAAATAAAAGCAGTGGTCCAGCAGGTTACTTGCTGTTACCTTTTGTTTTTGAATCATGACCCCTTTAGCTGTAATGACTGGTAATCAGATGCTTGGGGCTAGTTAATGCCATAAAAATTTTGAGCCAAAATGAGAATTGATTCGTACTCTCCTTTGCTTGAGCTGTAGAGTGTTTCCTCAGCTTCCCCACCATGCTGACTCTTAGGAGAAACATTCTCGCCACACATACACAGAACTAAACCAAACCAACCAGGATAAAGGGATGCCTGACTAAGGCAGCCCTTGCCCACGTCTCCCTCACCCTCAGTTTTATGGGGCCAGTTGTAACTGGTGGCCAGCTGGAATCCTAGGTGGAAGTAAATTAACTGGAAATCTCAAGTCACTGCTGCAGTCAACTGGAAAAAAGGAAAGAGTGCCAGTGCAGCGTGGCCCCAGAGCCCGACTCTGGCTGCTGCCCACACCACTCAGTGCTCAGGCCAGCAAGCATGCAGACCCCTCTGCCCTCTGCATATCTGCCTGCAGGGCGGAGGCCAGGCCACCAGCTTTCACACCTCTCAGAGGCTCTGAAGGTGAAGGTGAAGAGCTCGGAGGGAATGCTTCCTAAAGGAACTGGAACAGGTGTCTTTCCGTATTTCCAACTTGGAATAAATCCTATAACCTTATGCACTTCTTGAGAAGAAGCTTCCATTCTAGTTCCAAGTTTCCTATGACCGATACTACTATATTACTGCTATTAATCATAGTTCTTCTTATTACATCCCTGGGATAGCGTTTCTAACTATCTTGGGGATAGTTTTGTTTTATTAGGAAGAAAGAATAAATAAAAAATTGCTTGGCTTTTCAAGGCAGAAGACGAGGGGGTGAAGGTAAAAATAATAAAGTAGATAAGAGGCTTTCATTTGTTGCAAATTAACAAATAATAAGGTGAAGTTTTAGGATAATAGACTTACACCCCCCACCCAGGTTCTTTCATAAAAAGAGAGAAAAAGAGGAAGAGAGGGACAGGGAGAGTCAGAGACAGGGGAAGAGAGAGAGAGAGAGAGGGAAGAAGGAAGGAAAGAAGGAAGGAAGGAAGTTCTTAGTGTCTACAGCCAGGATTTAAATTGCATCACCCTAGCACAGCAAAGCCTCTTTTGAAATAGCTGACTCTCATAGGACACACACCTTAGTCTTGCTAAGAATGCAGAAATTCAGAAGTTTAAAACTTATTGGGGACTTTACAAACTAAAGAAAAGAAATAGGGCAGATTTGTGTCCTTTCTTTCCATTAAACCATGCCACCAGGAATATATTCTACAATAATTTCCCTCAGGCAATTTCATTCCCAGTTTTCACACTTTTTTATTTTCAAAAAGGAACAAAACAGACCCACACTTTCTTTACCTAACACTAGCCTGAAGAATCTACTGAATTCTATTGATTTTTCTCTCTTTGAACACAAGCTCATTAACCTGAAACACTGAGGAGTAACTATATTTCACTGAGCCTAGAACTGAGTGTCTGAAAACAAAAAGATCCCAAGACGGTGGTACAGCCTTCTCCCTGAGATGCCCTTTTTTTGTTTTTGTTTTTGTTTTTTTTTTTTTTGCAAATTCAGCTGCAGAAGCTGGGACATTGCTTCCTTAACCATAAAGACTTGCACGTTCATTAGAACTTTCTTTAAATTCACCCTTCTTTATTGTAATGTTTAGCAAAATCAAGGTTGCCATCTTTCCACTAACTTCTGCATTTTTACAGGCTATAGGGGGAAACGTCCACATCACACAGCAGTGCTGCAGCCCGGTCAGCCCCGCAGCCTCCTCTCAGCTACCCAGCTAGGGCTCCACCGAGGAGCTATCTCGGATGTATGGAAATGAGGGCTTCCTGAAACCCCCCAGGGACTTCCTCACACAGGAAAAAGCGATCAGGAAAAAATTAGACAACACAGACATCAGAAACAGCTTGCTAGACAAGTCTCTCCAAGATGCCCTATGAGTGGGGCTGTATTTCTTTTATCTTCCCAATCCAGGAGAACGAGAGATGTGACTCCACTCTCCCCCCCCACCCCAAATAAATAAGTTAATAAAGTAAGAGCTATTTTACCCAAGAAACCAATATAAAAATTTTGTGGTCTTGACTTTTATTTAAGATCTCTGATGAGATCAGACAATCTGCACCCTTTCGTTCAAGGCAAGAGACATCTTCAAACTGTTTTTTAATTTGATTTATCCTTTGAAACAGAAAGTGCATTACATTTAACTGGTCTTGCAAAGGGGGTTTTCTTCTCTTTACAAACCGAATTCCTTATATAAATTAATAAAGGTTAAAGATGCTAATATATCACCGTTATTAGCTTAAAAAAGAAAACAATTTACATAGTCTATAGTATTCTTATGATACAAAACACTTCAAATTCAATTACAGCAACTAAATGGATTTTTGTTTCTGACCCAGAGAAGTTGTAACAATTCCCACCATCTACCTTAACACGAATTTTTATCAGAAAGGAGTTAAATTAAATACAAGCTATTGTAGCCCCTCCCTCCCCAATACTTTCTTCAAATCACTAATAAATAGCAACAAACGACTGTGCAATTTCCGAGAAGAACCGAGAGGCAGGTCTGAGGCCTTCCCTGGTTCCCCTGTCTTCTACTTCAAGTCCTGGAGGCGGGAGCCGGGCGCGGGGCCAGCGGGTGGCCAGGGGAACAGCAAGAAGGGACGAAGGGAAAAGAGAGATCGAACAAATCCGACCAGGGGAGGGGAGCGAGAGGAGAGGAGATCGAGAAGATTCTTTTCTAAGCGTCTCAAATTAAGTTCAAAAAAGGAAGAGAACGTGTGGTTTGAATAGCTCTTAAAAGGGGAAGGGTAGAAGGAAGAAGGAGGTCCATCTTTTTATACCAAATCCAAAAAACATTTTACATTTTAAATATTCACAATAAAGTAACTTCTAGTCAGTGTGACTCACGATTTATTTACAAAGAGCCTTCAACAGGTTACTTTAGTCGGCACAGCAGTTTGTGGGGGGGACCGTCCCTCTTCCCATCCGCGGCGGGCGCCCGCCCACGGGGCTCCGAGGTCTCCTGCGCGGTGGGCATCGACCCTTCGCGAACATCTCCCCGCGCCCCGCCCGCCCGGCCAGGGGGCGGAGGTGGGGCCGGGCGACGGGCCTGGGGACCCGGCGGGCGGGGAGGGAGGTCAGCGGCGAGTGTCAGCCCCGTGATGGACGCGGTGCATTTCGTGGTCCTTCCTGCCGTCTTGTCCACCCCCGAGTCTCTCCCACCCCCGACCCGTCCGCTTCTAGGTTAAAAAAATAGATATGTACATCTCAGAAAACAGCCGCGCCCGGGCGGGCGGGCCCGGCGAGGGGCGCCGCGGCCTCGGTGCCCTCGCTGTCGCGGCGGTGGCGCTCAGGCCGCGCCCTCGCTCTCGGCCGCGTGCAGCAGGAGCCCGCCGCCGCCGCCGCCCGACTTGTGCTTCTTCAGCAGCTGCGTGATCTTCTCGTCGTCCGAGTTGGGGTCCAGGGGCTTGTTGTAGTCGTCGTCCTCCTCCTCGTTCTCCGAGGCCCCCTTGAGCCGCTCGGTCTCCGAGTCCTGCTTCTTCTTGGCGGTGGCCATCTCGGCCGCGTGCTTCTTCCTCCACTTGGTCCGGCGGTTCTGGAACCAGACCTGAGGGCCGGGAAAGGGGAGGAGAGGGAGACAAGGGCGGAGGGGGTTTAACGCGAGCAGATCCGCAAATGCCACCTCTCCCGCGGCGGCTGTCCCTGCTGCGGGCCCCTGACGGCTGGCCACCCTCCCTCAGAGACCTCCTTGTCTGGGCCGTCAAAGTCAGTCTCCGTCGCCCCAGGTTCCTCCGAGTAACAGGCACCAACAAACTGCCGTTGCCATAGCGATGGTAACACAAGAGTATTGAGGTTGTCAGAGAGCGATTTCTCAGAAGAGAAAAAACTTGGAAACTTAAAATGAGTCTCCCTAAAAATGAGTCCGCTTTCCTACTTTCCAGTTTGAAGTAGAAAACTTTTCCCCTTCGTAAAGTTGCCCCATGATGACTGTGACTGTATTCGTTATTTTCTTTCTCAGATTAAGATATTTCAAACAACCTGAAGCGTACTTGCTGTTTTGTGTGATTTGTGGGAGAAGGCACAGCATTTCCCCCAATTACCTCTGCTCTCCTTTTCGCTTTTGGATATTTGCCTGTTACACTTCTCCCGGTCTGAATACACACAAACATGGTAGGAAAACACTCCCCACCCTATTTACACTTGCAGTGTATGATGTAAAGTTAAAAAAATCTGCTGAACAGAAACCTCAAATCACTAATGCTAACCAACATAAACGCATGAAAATATTTAATAGCTCAGTCAAAATCATCACAGTGGTTTCTCTTTCTCTCTCTCAATCTCTGTCTCTCGGGTTTAATGATTTTCATAAAATCAAAGTCAAGGCTAAAATTTTCATCAGTTATTTTTTAAAAGCGTAATTTTGCCAATTACATTTTTCCCCATTATTACCATTACATTATTTCCCACTATTAACATGCCAGGTCTTTCAAATATTATTTTAATATTGTTTCTCCCCAAGACAATCTTTTTATATACAAATACTTTAGGCCTATTCACGATGTTTGACACTGTGTTTGATACACATATTGCAACCTAAAGCATCAGGAATAAGCAAGCAATTTCCCAAATATATTGAATTATCTTGTCTTTATGCTTCTCATCCATTTTCTCATCCGTTATGTATTTTACCTAGAGAATCGGAATTAAGAAAGTGATTTTTATTTTCTTTATACAGCTATAATAATTCACTTCTAGCCATGCAGACATATTTATGGTGACAAATGAAGACCTCTAGATTACTGTGGTAGGCTCTGTACCAACCACTGCAAAAATAATTTTAACTGTGATGGTATTCTAATGGTCACATACAAAATCACTCCTGAAATGCATTTTATGATGCTTGTCCAGGGAGAAATACACTCTAACCAGCAGACATGGCTAATGTTATTCCTACTTAATTTAAAGAGCAACAATATAACTAATGAAAATACACTTGCCTCCCCCCAAAAAAACCCCCAAATATAATAAACTGAAGAAGAGGAACAAAAGGGAATACTGGAAATACAGGAAACTGTGGATTTAATTTGCCTAGCTGGCTCAATCCCTTTATTTTCCAAGGAAAGATTTCTCAAATTTGATTCCCTGGAAATACACTGTACAAGTCAATTATAAGCTAAGTGACATTTTAATTATAAATTGTCACAAACAGTAAAATATCTTACATCTGTGGATAAACTTATTTTAAACAGAATTCAATTTCATAATATAGTAATAATCTTGTCAATTCATTTGGAAAATTACTATTCCAAAGTGACTGCTTTCTGCTAAGCTAAAAGCAGATAGATTCGTCCGTGCTAAGTGTTTAGATCCTTGGATTTTTTTTTTTTTTTTTTTACCCTGCAAGTTAATATAGTAGCACTATAATGCTGATACACATTAGGAACTTATATAACTAGTGGGGCCTGAATTGATAAACAAAAGCTTGAATATCTTTACAAATAGAATAAATGGAAGCTATCTAACTGGCCTGATCTATCCTCAGGGCTGATATTTTGGTAAGGCTTTTATTCTCTAATAATGGCGAGTTCCCCCAGCACATTCTACTATCTAGATTAACCTAATTTCAAAGGCGGGGGCTTGATTCCTTTTGTTCATCAACAGTTTGCAGGCCCGGGAGACCCCAAAGCCTTTGTAACCCCCACCCCACCCGCTTTGCTGATCTCATCTTCTCCCCAGGCTCCTCAGACCCGCACCCCCCGGGCGGCTGTTGATAGTTTGGTGCGAGAGTGCGCGCAGCGCGGGGGGAGGGGAAGGGGGAGGGGAGCGGGGGAAGGGGCCTATCCCTCGAGCTTTGCAAGGTCCACTCACCTTGACCTGACTCTCCGTCATCCCCAACGAATAGGCCAAGCGAGCCCTCTCGGGCCCCGCCAGGTATTTCGTTTGTTCGAAAGTCTTCTCCAGGGCGAAGATCTGCTGGCCTGAGAAAGTGGGTCTCGTGTGTTTCCTCTTCCCGTCTTTGTCCAACAAAATGGATCCTTGATCTGCGAGAACAGATAAACAAGGGAAGGGGAAAAACAATCGGTGACAAGCGGATCCAAGGAAAAGGAAAGGATTCGAAAGACAATGTCTAGGTGGGAAAGGAAAGCTTATTCCGCGGCAGGCCCCAGAAATGTCGCGGCGCTTCCAGTTGCGCGGCGCGCGTCCCCTGGCCTTTGACGCCCACCTGTTTTGAAGCAGCCGGGTGGGTTGGAGCAGCAGTCGGAACCCGTGCCCGGCGCGCACGGCCAGCGGCGAGGGCGCGCACTGAGAAGTTCGCCGGCGCCGAGGCGCCCGGCCCAGTCCTGGGAGGAGCGCGGGGCGAGGCCCCTCGCGCCGTGGCCGTGCGGGCGGGCTCGCTCGGCCCCGAGGCTTTGCACGAGGCTGCCTAGTTTGTTTCCCGGAACGCTCTCCTAACCTGCGTCCGCGCAACAAAGGACGCCTTGTTTTTCGCACACAAGAGAGCTAAATAGCCCCCAAGTCTCACGCCGCTGCGGCCGAGGGGGAGGGGGCGCCGCCTTTGTTGGCGGTCCCTACAGGGCCATCAACGCGAATACAATAGCGTCTCCCCGACACCCTCACCCACCCGGGCCGCCTGCCGTCCCGAAGCTTCCCAAGGGAGCCTCCGCTGGGCTCCCGCCACTTCCCTCGGGAACTGTCGCTCAACCACACGAAAGAGGTCCAGAGACTCAGATGAAACTTTGGGGACTCGGTCAAAAGCAAAGAATAGAGCAAGAAAAGGACCCAGTGCTAGGCTCCGAACGCCACCTGCGAGGCTGGGAGCCTCCGCGGCGCGGTGGCCAGCAACCCAAAAGAGGAGAGTGATCCCGGGGCAACTCGGTTTCAAGCAAGGTCTCTGCGGGATGCTGCTTTATCCCCGGTCCTTGTCCTGTCACCTCGTTGTCCGTCCGGTTCTTTCTCGTGTTAGGATGTTGTGGGCCACGATGCCCCTCAGTACGCCCTGGCCCGAGGCGGAAAGCGAGGGCCCAGCGGTGGGGAACGGCCCGAAGCGACTCGGCGCTCGCCCTCCTCAGCGGGCCGCGGGCCTTCAAGGCGCGCACCCGGGCCGACTGCACTCGGGGGAGCGAGGGCGAAGAGGTGAGGTGGGGACACCCTGGGCTGAGGCGTACTTGCAAATACACGCGCTTCGGCTCAAGGCTGTGGAGAGCTCGTCGCTGCCGGTCCCCACCGGTCCTCAGAGAGGAAGCCGGGTAGGCTGGCGAAGGTAGAATGGGGCCCTGGCAGGCAGACAGGGGACGGGAAAGCAGGGGTGCGGGCGGGGGCGCAGTGGCTCTCCTGCCCTCCCCTCCTCTTTAACTCAGGCCGGCCTTGCGGTGCCGGCCGGGCCGCTCCGGGAGCAGCCGGGTCCTCGGGTGAGACACACGCCCCGCAGCGCGGTGTGTTCCACGCGGGCGCATGCACACCCGCTCTGCGAGGCGTGCCCAAGACTTGGGGAGAGGGGAGCGCTTGGACGCAACCACGCGAGCTCAGGAAAGCAAGAATCCCTAGCTGGACGCCCTGGCCCAGACTAAGTCGTGCGATTCCAGCACTGCCAAACTAACCACTGGGGAGCAAGAGGGTGGACTGACCCGCAGCGGGCAGAACACGCACAGCCCGGCGCGGGCGATCGTACTCACGAGGGGTGCAGGCCAGGCGCGCGTCCCTCCAGGGCGGGCTCTGCATCACTCCTGGCCAGAAGATGGGCGTCCGGCCGGGCAGCTCGGCTAGCGGCTTGGGGTACCGACCCACGGCGGCCACGGCAGCGGCGCTGGGGCTGAAGTAGAGCCCGGGCGGCGGCGGCGGAGGGCTCAGGCTGCTGAAGCGGGGCAGGCCGGCCAGCAGCCCCGCGGGGGAGGAGGCGGCGGCAGCGGCAGCCGCGGCGGCGGCGGCAGCAGCCGAAGCCGAGGAAGCGGAGGTGGACGAGGAAGAGGAGGAGGAGGAACCGGAGGGCGAGGCGGAGGGCAGGGCGGCCCCTGAGGCCACGGGCATGGAGGGCCGGCTCAGGATGTCGTTGATACCGTGCGGGGTGGCGGCCGAAAGCTGCTGCGGGGGGCTGCCCAGGGATGAGAGCCCCCCCGCGGCCGGGGGCTTCAGGCTGCCTGGGTTGTGGGCGCCCAAAGGCGGGGAGGGCGACGATGATGAGGACGAGGAGGACGAGGAGGAAGGGGGGCCGGCAGGCAGCGGGGGGTACGCGGCAGGGTACAGTGGGGTCTTCATTTCGGCCATGCTGTGCAGGGCGGCCAGGGGCGGGCTGCTGAGCAGGAACGCGCTCTGCCGGGTGCCCTCCATGGCCCCCACCGCTAACATCCCACGGCCAGGCCGGAGCCCGCAGCCACGCAGCGAGGGCGCCGGCCGGTGCCCCCGGCGGGGCGCAGGGGAGCGAGAAGCGCCGAGGGCGCGAGCAAGGAGTCGCTCCGCGCACCCGGAGGCGACCTGCCAACCGGGCCGAGAACGCCGCCGCCGAGAGTTGTCTCGGAGCTGCGCAGCAGAAATGTCCAAACGCGCCACTCGAGAGGCGGTGACCGCCGAGACCAGCGAGCGTCCGGGTGGTTTCGGCTGTGCTTTCGCTCCTCGAGTCCTGGATTCAATCTCGGTCTCTTCTGTCCTCCTCACTTTTCCTCGCCGCTCAAAGTGCTCTACTTCTCATCTTCTCCCCTCGGGAAATAAGCAAAACAAAACCCAGGCCGGCCCCGGAGAGTTTGTAACAAAGTTAAGAGTCACCGAATCTCCACTTTGATGTTGGAGGGTGGGGGCTGGCTCGCTTTCTTTAGGGAGGTTCAAAGGACGCCAGGTTCCGCCCGACGCTCTCCTCTAATCTCACTCGGATGCCCTGCTCTTTGGGCCGCGAGGCTGATTCGCACTCGGCGCCCGCCGCGCCCGGGGAGAGAGCGCATCCAGCCGCGGGAGGATCTCGCCTCTGGGCGGGCTTCCTCCGCCGGCGCTGCCCGGGGCTGCTGCGCCAGAAAGGGCAGTGCCACAATCCAGCGGCTCCCCGAGTAGGCGCGCCGACCCGCCTTCCCCTCTGGGCCACGGGGCACTAGAGTTGCAATATTGAAAAGAAAAAGGAGGAAAAAAAAAAAAAAAACCACAGAAAAGCAAGACTAAGTGTGAAAAGTCTGAAGGCTTCCGTTACGGCTCCGCTCGCCTATCCACTTCTGCAAACCGGCCTGGCGACCCCCGCCCCACCCCCGGGCGCCCTCTCTTCCTCTCACTCTCCACCTTTGCCTCTCCTCTCTCGCATTTTCTTCGTGGCTTTACAGGCTTCGCTCTTCTGAGTCCTGTCCTCCGGCCAAGCTGACCCTCTCCGCCGTTCTTCCGCTCCCTCTCTCTCCTCTTCTCTCTCCCTCCGGGCCTGACAGTTCAGATGAAGCTCTCAAAGGTAATAAAACATTTGCATCACTCCCTACCCGTCTTTAGCTGGGGGACGAAAGGGAGGGGGACGTGGGGCTCCAAAATGAGAACTTTGAGCGACGTCACTCAGTGGAGGCCGGGAGGGGCGGGGCCGAGGAGCCGGGGGCGGTCCGGGGGCGTAACCACCGTGTCCAATAGCGCGCAGCCCTGGACCTCGCGTCGCCTCTGGGGCGCGCCCACTCGGGAGCGCCGCGCCCTCTCATTGGCTGAGGAGGGCGAGCCGTAGGGCCCTGCCCGCCTGGTCTCCGCCCCCTCCCGCCTCCATCCCTCCTGTGGGTGGGGCCAGGGGGCGGGGCCTGGCGAGTGGTGAGGTTCCGCCGCTGGGCCAGTGGACGCCTCAATTAATTGTGTTAAATAAAATGGGAAAGAGGAGGGGGGAGCAGAAACGAAGAGGGTATTACTTTTTAAAGAGAAGAATAATGAAAACCCAGCCCTTTTATGGAAAAAGCAGTTCATATTCTTCCCTCGCCTCCCCCCTCGCCTGCTCGCGTCACCCTGCCCCTTCTTCCCCCGCGAGCTCGCGACGCCTCACCTCGAACAGAGTCTGGTCCCTTGTAAAATGGAGCTAATGGAGCAGGCAGCCGGCGCAGCCCTGGCCCAGCTCCTTCTTTTGAAGGGATTAATAAAAGGCCATCTGGGCTCTCCCAGAATTGTGTAAATTAATTTGTTGCTCCTTAAGCCTATAGATGTCCTTAATCCCCTTGTAGGCCGAAGGATCGTCCTCTTCCATCCTTGCCATCTCCCGCTTTCCCTCTCTGTTCTTTCCCCTTCATTTTTCTTCTCATTCTTGGGTCCCCCCCGGGATGTTATCTTTTATAGGTTTGCTCCATTCGCAGGGAACGGAATCAGCGTAATGGGAATATTTATTTCTCGTGTGATGTTTAGACCTGAGAGTAGTGAGTCTTTTTTTTTTTTTTAACTTTTCTCCTCTTTGATTATCGTTGTTATTTGTTTCGAGTTTACTTGGGGCCAGAATCACCAAAATTGGGGTGTAGTCTTTAGATGCAGAAGTATCTCGGTATCCCCCGGGGACTGTAAGGTTTTGAAAAACGTCTCCAAAACTCTGGCCCCTGCCCTCAATTCCAGGCTTGTTTCGGGAGATGGCGACGTCCTGGCTTCGGGGCTGCGGTGATGGGGTGTCTAGGGTTTCGAAGTTGGACAATGGTTTCCCTTACTCCCTTTCAATCTCTTCCATCTCTGGCAATCTTTAAATTCCCGGCAGGGGTGAGCTGTGTACGTGAGGAGGAAGACCCTTGTACAATTTTGAGATTTCGGGATGTTAAAGTAATACACTATTGAGAGGTGGTCACTACAGCCATTTGGGTGAGATCATTAAGTCCAAACTTAATTCTCACAAAATGGAAAGAAATAGCTCAAGAATAAAACTTGAGCGTCACCACGCGTGGATGGAGTTTGGCGATAAGTGCCAAGCACGAAAAGCCGAGAGGGCTTATTCCCCTTTGATAACCTTCGTTTCCAAAGCAATGGTCTTTTAACGGTGGCAGCTTGAGCTTTTAAAAATTTTTTTCATCTTTTGCCAGTTTTATTATTCACTTCTGAGACAAAAGCAATGTTCTTATTTCGTCCCCCTCTTCCCGCTCCACCCTTCTTCGTTAACTTCGAGACTGGGCTCAAACCATCACTTCAAAGACCTTAGAATCTGACCTGGGAGAAGGTGAAGTCCTTCCTCAGCGTGAATTATGCCCAGTCGGGCAAGAAGAGAGCTGATGTGGAGACCATCCGCACATTCCCCGAGAGGATGCTGTGCTGGGCTGTGGGTCTAAACCCCAGCGCCCTGCTGCTTCAGCAGAGAGACTGGGGGAGGCGGGTAGCCCTGCAGCCCGGCCCTGGCCCGGGTGTTGTGGTTCCTCTGCCTCTCGCTTCGTTAAAAACGAAACTTTTTTTCGCCTCGAGAGACTCCAGCCCGGCCGTGGCACACAATCTCCCGCCTGACCACCGCTCCTGGGCCACCAGCGACCTCCTCACATGCCCCAGGACATCGCCTTCTCAAGGACTAGGTAGGAATGGAGAGGGAAGGAAGCTAGTGAAAGATTCCAATTTCAGAAAGCGACCCCCTTGATTTTATGTCAATATTGTGACCCGGGAAAGAATTGAACATTTTTCTATTGTAAATTTAGTATCTGATGTGGGTAAAGAGACAGAGAAAAGTCAGAGAGAGAAAGAGAGATGGAGACAGACTGATTCAGCTCAACCCAACTCCGGGTTAACTGCCATCGGTAAATAGTTGTAAAGCTGGGTGTGAGTAAGTCTCCATTGTTTGCTTTTATTTATCATTCACAGTGCGGAGTTAAAATAGCAGCGTTGGTCTTAATCGGGATACTAAAAACATTCTGGAGTCTGTGTACGTCGATCTCCAGGGGTGAACCCCGGGTGCCTGAATCCCGCGTGGGGCAGCGTGTGCTCTAGGCACACACGGCGGGGCGCCGCAGGCAGGAGGGTGCCTCCCGCCCGCGCCGGTTGCCATTGGTCTGCTCCGTCCGTCTCCACCTGGGAGCGGGGAGAGCGAGGGGCGTCCCGGAGGGGTGGGCTGCCCTTGTCACTCTCAGGGGGAGGTGGCCCTGCCCCCGCGGAGCTAAAACCACCCTCAGGACCGAGTCCTGGAGGAGCAGATCTCGACGCTGATGCAAGAGGCCCGTCTCTGGTCGGGGCCGTCACTTAGACGCGGCTTACAAACGCCCTAGAGAGTCAGGACTTACTCTCCCTCGGGGCCCCCCAGAACCTGCACGCCTTTCTGCCTATGACCTAATAATAAAGCCGGACCTTTCTAAACAACCCCTAGGAGTAGAAAGTGTAACACGTGGTCGCGACGTACCCCTCGCATCTCTGCACAGTATATGGGGGAGGGGGGCGGGGGGGAGCTGTGTCTGAAAGCGAATGATTTGCATTTTAATTGAAAAATAAATGAAAACGGTTTGGCAAATTCTGAGGTTGCAAAAAAGGCTGAAAGGGCCGGAGTAAGGAAGCCGACGCGCCCCCCTGACTTTCTCTAAGCGTGCGAACAAACGCGCCTGTTTTCAAGTTCCTCGTTTTAGCCTGCTCTTCCTGTTCCGCAGCCTGCGCCATGCACTTGTGCGCCCTACCCTCGGTCTAACCCTTGACTCAGAGCCGCCTAGCGCGTTTTGATACGTCTCTTTTAAGTTGAAGGAACTGCCACTAAGTTCAAGGTAACTCCTAGAAGGAATGCAAATGAAATCTCAGCTAAATGTACTTCAAGTCAGCGGTCGGGGATAAACGATAACTATTGTTCCCCAAGCCTGTTCATGTGAAATGTCTGGATACGCAAGTGCAACCATAGGAAACCAATTCTATACTCGCGAAAAGGGAGGAGAGAGGGAGTGAAGGGAAGTATGTGTTTATTTCAGGCCAAAAACCTCTCTCTCTACAGTGTGTTTGCTTGAATCATCTGGACCACTTCTTTAATAACTCCCTCCCTCCGGCGGACGAGTGCGGCCTGTTCGGCTGAGCTGGGAGGCCGGCTGGGTTTATGTTAAATGGTGGGAGAGGTCGAGCGGCGGCTAAGTAGAAACTCAAGGGAGAGGGAAGATCCACGAGCTTGGCACAGCCCGCTCTCGGAGAAGGAAGGTGGGGAGCAGGGAGAGCGTGTCTGTCGGTCTCTCTGTGCCTCCTGTAAATGCTTTGGGTGGGAGCTGGACCCTTGGCTGTTTCGGCTGACCAGGAATTAAGGAGCCGATCTGGGAAGGGTTGGGGTACAGAGAGGCCAAAAACGCCGGATGGTGCAGAGCGTTGTAGGATCCTGTGGTCGGCGGCCTCCCAGCGGAGGCCAACACAGAACGTGTGAGGGAAGCGACCAGCGTAGACAGCCTCGTCGGACCTACAACCAAAAAGACCTCAACCTCAAGCCGGGACATCCCTTGGTGATCTGCAGAGTGGCCGCACGGCAGCCCTGCCGCACAATCGCCCAACACGCACTGAGCTCTCTTGGGGGATACGTGCACTCGAAAGGGAAAGTTCTGGAAGGTCCAAGAA